TCTACTACGCACAGGTGAGGCCGCCCCGCCCGCGCCCGCCGTGCCCCCAGCGCCCCGCGCCTGCTGCACCTGCTGCGCCCCGCGCCACCCGTGTCCGCGTAGATGCGCGCGCGCTAAGCGTGCTCGGGCTTCGCACACACGTGTGCGCCCCCAGCCCCGCCGGTGCCTCCGGCACTTATACCTGGGGGACGACCCTCGCGGACCCGCACCTCACAAGACTCTCTTGGGTGGGGACCGCCACCCTCAGTGGTGCCAGAGAGGGGCTTGGACCAAGCCGGCCAGGCATTTCTCCCTTTTACAGATGGGGAAACTGAGGCCCGGAAATAAAATGAAAGACTGGCGGGTCGGGAAGGGCTGGGAGATTTAGTTTGCATTTGGGCTTGCCCCTGCGTGGGCGCGGCCCCGTTGGGTGGTTATGGCCCATGGGTATGAGTAGGCTGGGGGTTCAGAGAGGCGTCCCTACTGCGGGTCCAACTTGAGTAAACTTAGACACCCCCCACCCTTCTTCAGAGACCTGGTAGTGATGAGCTCCTCCCTGACCCCAGGCGGCCCCACCCAACCCCCTGGGGCTGGTCCAGCCAGAAGGAAAGATTTGTGGTGGATGCTGAGCGTAGTGGTAGGGGGTTGAACCTAGGAAGGATGTTTGAAAGGGATGGAGAGAGGCCCTTTGCTCCCGAGCTCCCTGTCCTCTCTCAGAGACTCCCTCAAGTAGCCTCGGAAGGTGAAGACAGCGACTGACCCAGGTGTCCTGTCAGAGCCAAGAACCTAGTGTCCCCCAAACTCTGTGTCTCACACACATAGGCCCCCACTTTCCTTCCGGATCCACAGCAGGGAGGGATCCCAGGGTAGCACCCCCCCTGTCCTTCACCCGCACCAGCTTCCCTCCCTGCACCTGCCTGGCATCATGCTCCTGGCTCAGGTGTGCCCTGGGCACAATAGACTATTGTGTGCCTCTGATCTCCTCACTGGGGGAAGTAAGTGCTCAGATCAGCTAGCCCTCTGTGAAGAGGCTGGCCGACTGTCTCCCAGGACTGCAGGCTGGATCTGGGGCCCCAGGGACCTGAAATCCAGGCCATAAGAGCCACAGCTTCTGAGTCTGTTCAGGTGGTAAGAGGTCCAAGCCCCTGGCAGAAGGCAGTGTGTGGATTAGAGTCCTTCTTTGGTTTGACCCAGGGCAAGAGCTCTTTACATCTCTGAGCTTCCCTATCTGTAAGTTTGGCACAGCCCTGACCTCAGGGGTGGCCTTGACTCTGCAGAGGGGTGGCCAGTATAGCTGGTCCATGCCAGAGAAGGCTCCTGCTTCCTTGGCCCCATTGGGTCCCCTCATCCCAGCCTGTCTCCATCTCCAAAGATTGGTCTTTGTGAAGGAGTGAAGGATTCAGAAGAAAATCTGCCCCTAGCCCTTATGCTTCTGATTGCCCTTATGGCCATGGGCAGGTTCTAGTCCTCAATTTCTTCACTTATGATGAGGTGAAGGGGGCTTGAACCAAGTGATGAGTCTGACAGATATTGGTGGGACTTCGGGCTGGGTGGCATGCTGCGAGGGGAGGGCGTCTTCCCACTGTCTCACAGGACTGTACCTCCAGCATGGTGGCCTCCACTACCCATTCTAGATGAGCTCTGCAAATGGTCAGGCCCCCATCCCCCAGGAGGTATTTAGCACTCATCCGTGCTGAGTTCCCCCCCGACCCCTCAGCTCATCACCTCACAGGGGCACAGGCTGGCTGGTTGTAGCCTTGGATGCCTGGACAGGCAGAGGGCAGCCTGGGGCCTGGCAAACAAATCCAGGATGTGAGTGTGAACCGGGAGCCAGGCGGGGCCAGGCCGCCAGGGGAGAGGAAGCTCTGCACTGCCTTCCTGCCCGCTTGGTGCTGCTCCTGCCCCCAGAACACTGTCCCCACCCCTCTGTGCAGGCTCCCAGGGAGTGGTGGCCGTTGTACTTGGAGCCCTGCTAGGGACCTATTGTGTGTAAGCTTTGGGGAGGGGGTAAGCTAAGGTAAGGGGTTGGACTGATAAAGGGTATTAAGAGACCCCTGAGTTGGCCAGTCACCCAGCCAGAAGGCTCCCCCAACGCCTATGCCCCTCCCTTCAGCAGTGAGAGCTGACATCAGCTGGCAAACCTGTTTCCCTAGTTGTGGGTCTTGGCCTGCCCTGGGGAGCAACCCCCTTTCTGCCTTTCCTTTCTCCTCATAGACCCCAGGTTCAGACCTACCCACCCCCCACTTCTGTGGGCCCTGCTCAGCTGGGGGCCACGAGTTGGGGAGGGGGCTGTCGGTGGCTACTGAAGGAGGAAGGAGGGCCACAGT